CTCAGCACCCTCCACCGGTCCATCGCCACCTGCGTGGTCCGGGAGGTGGCGCGCACGCTCATCAGCGCTGCCTGAGGTGGTCGTCGGGCCAGCCAGCGCGCCTAACGCAGGGGTCTGGTGGCTCACACCCCTGGGCCTGGAACCGGCGGCCTCGCACGACGACAGCACCAGCGCGAGAACAGCGCTGCTACGGGAGGACGCACGAGGACAGCACTAGGACAGCACGAGGACAGCACAGGCGCGAGGACAGCACGAGGACAGCACGAGGACAGCACGAGGACAACACTAGCACGAGGAGGGGAAGGGGCGCCGAGGAGGCGCGCCGAGGAGGAGAGGCGAGGCCGAGGAGGAGGAACGCCGAGGAGGAGCGCCGAGGAGGAGCGGCGGAAGTGGAGGAGGGGGAGGCCAAAGAGGAGCGCCGAGGAGGAGCGCCAAAGAGGAGCGGCGAGAGCGGGCGGCGGTGGTGGCGGCCGGAAGCGGCGGCGGGGCGGCTCCAGAGGCGGCGGCGGACGGACCGGGGGCGGAGGGAGGAGCGGCGCCCGGCCCCGCGGCGGCGGGCGCGGGCGCGGGCGCGGGCGCGGGCGCGTGCGGGCGCGCGCGGCGCGGCCCGTGGCGAGCGCGGTCCGCCCCTGGGCCCTCCTCGGACCCGAGGGCCCTGGGGCACAGAGGAGAAGGAGGAGGAGGAGGAGGAGGAGGAAGAGGAGGAGGAGGAGGAGGAGGAGGAGGAGGAGGAGAAGCAGCAGCAGCAGTGGACTGAGGTTGGAGGAGGAAGAAGAGGAGGAGGAGGGGAGGAGGAGGAGGAGAGGAGGAGGAGGAGGAGGAGGAGGAGGAGGAGGAGCCTGAAGGAGAGTGCAGGCGGTCATGAGCACGAGCGAGAAGAGGGCAAATGAGTTCGTCTCTGCAGGTGCGTGTTCGGGCCGAGCTCTTCTACCTGTAAAGTACTGCGAATGCTGCGCGGCGCGAAGCGACTAGATCTGCTTGCAAAACAGATGCGGCACGGGCGCTAGCAGTGAGCTTCATCTTGTTGTACATATGAGAAGGCCAGCAAGATCCTCGAGACCGCCGCTGGCAGTGGCATTGGGCCGGCCGCGTCGGCCGCGTACGCTGCAGCGTCGATTGGATGAGGGGGGGGGGGTCAGGGAGCCAGAGGAGCCTCGAAAGGGCGGGGCAGGAGAGATAGTTCGGGGAGAAGTCAGGCGCGCCGGCGCAGCCGAACGCGCACTTGCGCTGCTGAAGAACGCGAATCCTAGCGGTGGTCGCCCACCCACCGCTGAGGGCCTTGAAAGTGGCCCAGCGCCAGCTCGGGCGCATTTGTTTGAGTGCGTCCGCCAGGGGGCCCCAGCGTTTCCGAAGTTCTCCGGGCGCCGATGGCGCCTGGAGGCCCCAGGAGGAGAACCGCTTAGCGAGAGTAGCCGTGAACGGCGACATAAAAGTCAAGTCACGGAGCTTGCTTGCATAGATGCGATGAAACTTGACACGGCGAGGCGGGCTCGCAGCGGCAGCCTCTCTCTGTTCGAGGCGCGCGGCGCGAGCGGCAGCGGCGACAGACTGGCTGGAGAACGGCGGCTGAGATCCGCTGCGGAGCAGTGGGCGGTAGCACTGTACGATCGATGTCAGCGATGACCAAACGGGCGGCGACCATGCACCAGTCGGCCAGCGAGGTGCATCCTGTAAAGTTGTTCCTTCCCACGACAAATCGGCGAGGCGATCGGTGAAAGGCTCCCAGGCACCTGGGGGCGTCGGAGCGGCAGAACGGGCAGCAGAAGCGACAGCTAGGACTTGGGCAGATGGGATGACTGGTGGCGGGCTCCAACCCGCCATGGCGATCAGGTCTACCCTGCGAAAAGAGTTCGGCGGCAAGCTCAGCATATTCGGGAATTCATACAATTCACAGCGCGCAATGGAGGCATCAAGGGGGGGACCTGCGAGACATAGCTAAGCGCAGTGAGCACTGATGTATTATATAAGCGAACGGTGGCGTCACTGCCACTCTGCACGAGCTGGGGCAGATTACCCCGCTGTCACCGTTTTTGCCCAGGGGCGAGCCATTGGCAGGCCTGTGAGGCCTAAGGTCCGAGAAAAGTGCCCAAGTACTTGGCGCGCACCGCAGCCGGAAAGCTGCCCCGTTGAGGTCCGAGTTCGGCCAGAACGCTTTCGCGGCGGCGATGGTGGCGGGGGACGCGGCGGGCCAGAGAGGCACGACAAAGCATTTACGCAGCTTCAAAGAAAGGATCGCAAGCTCCTCCGCAGCGGCAACCAGGGCGGTCACATGTCGCAGCGTGTCGAACGAGTTCGTCAGCGGGCCGACGTCGTCAGCGCATGCGCCCAGGTAGCCAACGTCCAGGTTCGGCTTGCCGCCCAGGTGCTCCATCAACGACGCGAGGTGGCGGATGATCGGGCCCATGGCTATCGCCCAAGCGGAGCCTGATGCAGGGCAGCCTTGCGCCACTTCGGAGCTGATCGCGAACGTGTCGTGGCGCACGCCGTCGATCTTGATGTGGCTGGTGTGCGCGAAGCACATGGCATGACAGAGGTTCGGGATGCCCTGCGGGAGGCCAAAGTGCCCCAGCGCGATGAAAAGCCAGTCCCGCCCCAAGGGCGGGAAGGCCGCCGAGAAGTCAAAGCTGGCGGCGACGGGCTTGGAGTCGGCAGCGTCTGGAAGCCATCCAGCGCGGCGCATCCCGGCGTCGAAGCGGACGACGTGCTTGGTGAAGTTGCGTCCCTGAACGAAGCCCTGCTGCGCGATGTGGGTGCGCTCTGCCACGGCGCCCTTGATCATGAAGTTAGGTGCCCCTGCGACGGCTTTGATGTCCGTGTTCTTCAGCGAGAGCGGGCGAGTCCGCAGGCGCCCTGTCGGTGGTGAGCTCGCCCTGCACATTATCGCCCCACGGCAGGAAGGCAAAGTCGGAGTCGTTCAGGTCGCGGGTGTAGTACTGGCCCGAACAGAGGAAGAAGGAGAGGTCCTCGAGCATGTCGAGCGAGGCTTCGCGCGCGAGCCAGGCGGAGTGAGGCAGGCAGTCTGGGCCAGGAGCCGACGGTGATGTTCTGCGCAGGAAGGCCTTGACTGTGACTTGGCAGGCGTCCCGATGTCGAGGAGGTCGCCCTTCGGCGTGTGCGCGTGGATGTAGTCGGTAACCCTGCCGATGTCGGCATGCTTCGCGGCGAAGACGGGCTGCCAGTGAGCGCGTAGAGCAGCAACGATGGAGCCACTCTCTCTTGCAGTCTGGGGCCCACCAGGGCCTGCGATCTTGACTCCCTGGATGACCAGACGGCGTCTCCACGGTGCCCAAAGTAGGGCCCGACGCTGGGAGGACCGCATGACCAGACGGAACTTCTCTGGGGGCGCTGAGCTGCCTGCCGGGCAAGAGAGAGCTGCCTGGCCTCGAGGTCGCGGTGCAGCTGCGCGGCCTGGGTGGCGAAGTCGAGGGGGTCGCGGAGCGTGACGGAGCCACTGGCGATCGAGAGGTACTTGGCGCCCAGCTCGGTGGTGGTGGCAACGCGGCGAACGAATTGAAGATCTTGGCGCCAGGCGGCCCTGGAGATGGAGCGCGCGGTGAAGACGCACCCAGCGAGGTAGCCCGACTTGTTGACGTCACCGCTGGCCTTTCGAACCCAGTCGTCACGAGCCAACTGGGCAGCTTCAGTCATGAGCCTCTTGTGTGTGCGCCAGCGGCTATCTATGGAGACGTGGTCGGTTTTCGTGGCGTCGAGCAGTTGCTGGAAGAAGACGGCGTAGTTCGGGTCGCGGAAGATCGACGGGTGGATGGCCTTCTCGATCAGCGGCGTGCGCGGCTTGATCCCGATGGAGAAAATGATGATCGCGTGGTCGCTGAGGCGGTCGTCCGAGAGCAGCGTAGCGTCGCAAGCAACCTTCGCGTTGATGGTGAACTCGCCCGTGGCGTGCGAGGGGAGGCTGATGAAGATACGGTCGATGGTGGAAGCGGTGTAGTCCGAGCGGTTGAAGCGCGTCGGAAGGTCGGTCTCGCTCTCAAGCATGGAGTCAAAGAGGGCCCTCCAAGACGGCTGCTGCTGGCGCATGCTGTTGTCGAGGAGGAGGAGGAGGAGGAGGAGGAGGAGGAGGAGGAGGAGGAGGAGGAGGAGGGGGAGGAGGAGGAGGAGGAGGAGGAGGAGGAGGAGGAGGAGGAGGAGGAGGAGGAGGAGGAGGAGGAGGAGGCGAGTCACTCCCCGCAGCCTCCTCCCCCAGCACGGCGAGCACCGCGCCCAAGGCAGCAGGCGCGGGGGTCTGGGCGGCCCCTCCATGCAGAAGAGCAGGGAGGACTGGTATGAGGATGGGAGACTGGAGCGGGAAGAGGAAGACGAGGGGCGAGGAGCAGGAGCAGCAGGAGGAGGAAGAGGACGACGACGACGACGACGAGGGGGAGTGGGCGAGGACGAGGAGGGGAAGAGGGAGACCGAGAGGTGAGGCAAGGACGGCGATGGGAATTGTGAGCGAAGGGGGGGGAGCGAGAGAAAGACACAGAGAGAGAGAGAGAGACGGGGTGGTTGGCGGCGCGGGCAGGAGGGTAGCGCGAGGGAGGCGGCCTCCTAAAACAAGGCGGTCGGCTTCTCAGCAGGCAGGAGCCTTCAAACCCACAGGCTCGCGTGCTTCTGAGAAGGCCTCTGGGCATCCGCGGGCGCCTCTGAGACATCGCCCTGCCTTCTCAGAGGCCCCGCCCCCGTCCTCCTGAGAAGGCCTTCCCCCTCGCGACACCTCTTGCGCGCGCCGCCACAGAGGGGAGATGGAGAATGATGCCCAAGAACGTGCTGAAGGGAGCAGTTCCGCGTGTGGACGTGCACTCGGCAATCTGAGTGGACGGGGAAGGGGAGGACAACGGCGAGGCGGAACACGAGAAGGGAAACGATGAAGCACGACGCGGAGACTATACAACGCAGGAGGAACCTAGGATGAAGAAAGCCGATCTCCTCCTGCCATCCACGCCAGATGACACCAAGTGTGGCGCAGCGGCGAGGGATTCATTACGAACACAGGCGTACGGGGTTCACGAAGCGGCCATCTCATCTAGGATGGTCACGCACGGTGCACCGCCATGGAAAGCGGCACGGCGCAGGTACATGATCATGCTGTCGGATAACATGCCCGAGTGGGTGATATAGTCAAGCGCGTGATACTAAAGCAACACCAGATGCTCTGAGCGCGCACGAACGAGGCGCGCACACACCTCAACACAGGCACAAGCGACACGCACACGAACACACGTGCAAACGCACGCACCAGTCGGCATCCTCGTCCTCATTCCCCTTGCCATCCTGCGGCCCCTCTTCCAGCACCTCGTCCTTGCGCCCCTGTATCCTCCTCCTCATTCTCATCAACATCATCACCAACATCATTATAAGCATCCTCCTCATCATCATCATAATCGTCACCAGCATCACCACCATCATCAACATCATCACCATCATCATCACCATCACCACCATCATCATCATAACCACCACCATCAGCATCAACATCATCATCACCATCACCATGACCATCACAACCACCATCATCATCACCATCACCATCACCATCACCATCAACATCACCATCACCATCATCATCGTCATCGTCATCATCATCATCGTCATCATCATCATCATCATCATCATCATCATCATCATCATCAGCATCGTCATCATCACCATCACCATCATCATCATCATCGTCGTCATCATCATCATCATCGGCATAATCATCAGCATCAGCATCAGCATCAGCATCATCATCGTCATCATCACCACCACAATCATCACCATCACCATCATCTGCAATCGTGTCACGGTCGGTGCCCAAGCGCCTTGAAGACGGTGAGAGAGTACTTCTCCGGAACCTTGGGCAAGAGAGGGGACGAGGACGGCGAGGAGGGCCATGGGGACGAGGAGGGCGGGCGCGGAGGGGGCGCGAACCGCAGGAGAGGGGGCGGGGGAGGAGGAGGCTCAGCAGGAGCGGGAGGACGAGCAGGACCACGAGGAGGAGGCGGGGGAGGGCAAGGAGGGGAGCGAGAGCGAGGGGGGGGCGGGGCACGAGGGGCGGCGGCGAAGGGGCAGAGGGCGCGGCGCAGGCCGCGAGGCGAGGGGCAGGGCGGCGGAGAGGGCGGGGAGGAGTCCGGGGGCTGCGCCCGCTGCCTGGCTGCCCCGCCTGCGGCCCTCCACGCTGCGATGCGGCCCCTCGGGGGGGGGGGGGCCGCAGCGCATGCGACGCCCCCCTCTCTCTTTCTCTCTCCCTCTCTCCCTCTTCCTCCTCCCTTTCCTCCTCCTCCTCCTCCTCCTCCTCCTCCTCCTCCTCCCTCCTCCTCTCCTCCTTCCTCCTCCTCCTCCTCCTCCTCCTCCTCCTCCTCCTCCTCCTCCTCCTCCTCCTCGAGGCCCAGGCCGGAACTCGTGGTGCATGCCAAGGCCCGCGGGGCCGCGCATCCGTCCTCGAGATCAAGCGCAGGCCTTTCCCGCGACGCGGCGGCGCCCCAGGGCCCCAGACGTTCGGTGGTCGCGCCGAGGCTGGCGACGGACAAACAAATCCGCCGACCCCTTGGGGTCACGGCGTGTCCCTCCCCAAACCCCTCCCCCTAGGGCTCCCAACTTCGCGCTTCGCGCTCCGCGAAGCGCGAATAACTTCGCGCTCTCGCGCCGCCCCCCCAAAGGGAGAAAAGGAGGACGAGGAGGAGGGGGAGAAGGAACGAGGACCGCGAAGCGCGAAGCGCGAATAACTTCGCGCCCTCGAGGGAGCCCTTGGTTTGGAGGGGGGCGGGGAGGGGCAAATCCATCATCCGCACACTTGGAGCCTCAGGAGGCCCCAAAACGGGCCAAACAGGTTCCAAAGGTTCCCGGAAGGGTCCAAGAGAGCTACGAATCGACGAAAGACCACCCCAGAACGCCGAAGATTGCCTCCACACGGCTCCGTAAGTCCCCAAGACGTTTGAAACAATATTACGAGGCGCCCCAAAGAGGCCCTCCAGAAGCAAAAATCGTTCCACTTCCTAGGGAAAACGTGCATTTTCACCACATTCGCCCATTCGGCTTCCACGCGGCGCAAAACGGCCCAAGAAGCCTCCAAGATCGACCCTAGCCAGCCCAAGAGGCTCCCAAAAAGGCTCCAAGACGACGTCTGGGCGATCCACGAAGGCCCCAGAAACAATAGCAACGGCTCAGGAAAGCCGCAGGACGGTCCCAAGAGGGCTCCGAAACGGGGCAAGAGGGCCCCAAAAGCCTGTCCGGACGGCCCACGCGGGGGACGATTCGGTCCAAACCGCCCAAGGTCGCCACCAGACGGCCCCATGGGTGTCCAAGACGTTTGAAAATGCGACCACGAGGCGCTCCAAGAAGGCCTCCACAAGTAAAAACCGTCCCATTCCCGAGGTAAGACATACATTTTCACCACATTCGCTTCTGGGCTTTCACGAGGCCCACAACGGCCCAATAAACCTCCAAGATCGACCCCTGTCACCCGAAGAGGCTCCCAAGAAGGCTCCAAGACAGTTTCCGGGCGATCCACGAAGGCTTCAGAAACCATAGCAACGGCGCAGAAAAGCCGCAGGACGGTTCCAAGAGGGCCCCAAAACGGGGCAAGAGGGCCCCCAAAGCCTGTCTGGACGGCCCACGCGGGGGACGATTCGGTCAAGATCGCCGCCAGACAGCCCCATGGGCGCCCAAAACGCTTGCACACGCGACCAGGAGCCGCTCCAAGCAGGCCTCCAGAAGCAAAAACCGCTCCATTCCCGAAGGGAAACGCACATTTTCAGCAGATTCGCTTCTTGGGCACCCACGAAGCCCACAACGGCCCAACAAGTGGCACGCGTGCCCTGGCTCTTGCACAAAGGAGCTGCGAAGGACTGGGACTGGACGGAGGGCGGCTCCCGAGGGTGGGTGGCTCAGGGGAGCTGGGGCTCAGGCTCAGGGGGGGGGGGCGAGGGGGGCGAACCACCACGAGCCACGAACCACGACGAAAGTAAAGGGTTCTGCGGCCCAGGGGGGCTGCCCTGGGAAGCCTGGACGCAGGGGGGGTCCCAAGGGGAGGTGGCCACCACGAATCACGACGAAAATAAAGATGTCCGCGGCCCAGGGGGGCTGTCCTGGGAAGCCTGGACGGAGCAAGCCTCCGAAGGGTGGGTGGCCCAGGGGAGCTGGGGCTCAGGCTCAGGGGAGGGGCCGAGGGGGGCGAACCATGACGAACCACGAACCACGACAAAAATAAAGATGTCTGAGCTCTAGAGCACAGCTGTGCAAGAGAATAAAGATGTCCGAGCTCTGGAGCACAGCTGTGCAAGAGAATGAACCTCCAAGATCGACCTCTGGCACCCCAAGAGACTCTCCAAAAGGCTCCACGACGGCCTCTGGGCGCCCCACGAAGACCCAGAAACCATAGCAACGACCTGGGGGAACGGCAGGACGGTCCTAAGAGGGCTCCAACACGTGCCTAGAGGGGCCCCATAGGCTGTCCGGACAGGCCACGCGGGGGACGATTGCTGCCGCCCCAAGGGGTCGGCGGTGTGGCGTAAGCCAATGAATATATATATACACACCAATCCCAGGATTTCCCATATGTTTCTATAGTTGTGGGGGATCTTCGTCTTCCCCCCCCCCCACGTCCCATATTTTCGCATATCTTCCTGGGAGTCGAGGATTAATTGTGTCTGTGTTTTTTCCCCTAGCCTGAGATCCATGGATTTGGCGCGCGGTCGCCAAATCCATGGATGGGGGAGGTGCCCTCCCCAACATGCGGCCGGTGCCGCCTCGCTCAACGACGGAAATGCGCGGTTCCGCATGGAAACGGGGCCCGTCGCTAATCCACGCCCCCTGAATCCGTGTTGGCGATCTGGCGATCGCCCGAGAAGATGACGACGACGAGGAGGGCGACGACGCGAAGGGTCGTCGTCGTCGCCGCTGCTCTGCTGCTGGCCCTGCTGCATGGGGCAGGGAAGAGAGAAGGCCGGCGGCAGCGACGGGGCCCCGCAGTGGGCGCCGGGAGCCTTGCCGCGGCTCGTGAACCACTCGGCGTTCGCCCAGCTCTCCATGACCTCAGACCGGGCACGCGCCAGCATCTAGGGGAACAAAAAGTGGCATAAACATAAAAACTCTGAGGTCACCAGGTCCGCGCGGATTTCTCGGATCGGCGCTGGACCCCCCTCCCTGGCGCGCGGAGCGCGCCAGGGGCGGCGCCGGAGGCGCCGCCGGGGGGCCCCAGCGCCGATCCGAGAAATCCGCGCGGACCTCCGAGTTTTTATGTTTATGCCACTTTTTGTTCCCCTAGCATCGACTCGGGATCCGCGGATTTGGCGCGCGGGCCCCAGATCCGCGGAGCGGGGGCGGCCTTCCCCGAGTCAGGGGGACGTAAGACCCGGGTACAGGGAACTCGGAAATCCCCGACGAGGTCGTCAAAAAAATGACGAGGCCGAGCCTGCATTTTGACGAGGCCTCCCGCTGCAGACATCCCGCGAAACTCCTCCTCGTCAAAATCCGAGGCGCGGTCGTCAAAAAACAATGGCGAACCCGAGTCCTGGCAAACCCGGGTCTTACGCTCCCCCGACCGAGGCGTGAAGCCCGTGCCAGCGCGCCCCCGCGCTCACGCTGCACCGGCTCCCTGGGCGGAAGCAGGCAGCGAGCCGTTCGCGGGAGCTTTTGCGACCATGCCACACCGAATGGCTTCAAGTTCGCCACGATGTTCCCTCTGTGTTCCGCCCGCTGGCGCGACAGCACGTGCACCTGGTGTGCACCTTGTTTGAAACCCCGAATTCAACCATATTTTTGGCCGAAGATACCTTCGGCAGGAGCAGGAGACGTGCCAGTGCTGCGGTGATAACTCCTGCGGACTGGCAACGATGCGCAGTCCTGATCATTTTTGAAGTGGCGCGGTCACTTCTGCCATGGCTGAGCTCCCCGCAGCCGTGGGATCGATCGCGTCGCGTTTGCCTCCACACCACTTGGCTACTCGCGCGCAGGGCCGGATTTCCCCGCGGGCGGGCGCCTGCGGGGGAAATCCCGCCCTGCGGGCGGGTAGCATGTCGAGAAG